GCCTTTAATCCCAGCACTCGGGGGGCAGAAGCCAGTAGATGAATCTCTGAGTTTGAGGCCAACCTGGTCTACAGAGCAAGTTCCAGGACAGCCAGGACTACACAGAGAAATCCTGTCTCAAAAAGTCAAAAAAGATGTGTGGAATGGGGTGTGTGGAGGCAGAAGACTCGTGTGCACACACACACACACACACACACACACACACACACACACACGGGTAGCTGCCAGGAAGTTTCAACTATTTTTTTTGTCATTTGACTGGGAGCAGAGTCGGTTGTTTTTGATACCTGGATATATAGTTTCTACAGCTGGACTTGAATGGTCAGGTGGGTGTTAAGTCATTCTTTATGGCTAGGAGCTATTGCCCCTGTAGTCTGACTCAATTCCTCATGATGTGAGGCTATTACCTGACAGTCATAACTTTTGATCATTCCCATTTTACAAGTGAATAAACTAAAGTTTAGAGATTCGGCCACAGCAGAGCCAGAGGCAGAACTGGTTTCTTAGTTACTTTCCTGTCATTGTGATAAAATACCCTGAGACGAACAACTTGAAGATGAGTTTACCTTGGCTCACAGTCTGAGGGTACAGTCCATCATGTCGGGGAAGTGAAGGCTGCAGGAGCTTGAAGCAGCTGGCCACACTGCAGAACAGAATAGAATCCGGTGCTGGCTCCTGGCTCTTTTCTTCCTTCAGTCTGGGATCCAACTCACCGGATAGCACCACCCACCTCAGTTAACCTCACCAGGAAACTCCCTCATAGGCACGCCCAGAGACTTGTCTCCCATGTGATCCTAGAGCCTGTCAGATTTGCAATCAGTATTAACTACCGCAGCCTACAGGTCTTGATTTCTAATGACTGATGGCAGCAGCAGCTGTTACGGTCCCTGCCTCAGGCCAAGTTTCCACTCGTGTCAGGGGAAGCATTTTTCCTTAGGCTAGCCAGGGTGGGATGGGGCAGGGGCCAGGTGCTTAGACTCCAAATAAGACCTCCTCCCGCCTCTCCTAATCACAGGTTCCTCTCTGTTGGTATCACTGCCCTAGAGCCTGGCCTGGGGTTGTTTTGTTCTTGGGCAGCTGTGTTGTCAGGCTCTGCAGGCCTACAATTCCCTCCACTCTATTATTTACTGTAAAAACAATAATATTGCACCAGTAAAAGGCTTAAAAAAAACAAAACAAAACCCCAAACCCTCTGAATCACACCAGCCTAGCTCAACAGCTGCCTTAATTTTTCTGTCTTGTTCCAGCCTCTGCCCATGTCTTCAGTGCACATCTTTACATGCTTGTCGTGGGGATGGGACTGACGCTCGCTCAGGATTCTGTTCGTTTGCTCAGTGCTGGTCCATGTTTATAATTATGTTATTGCCTGCAGACATCTACCCTGGATTTCTGGGCTGTTTGTTTCTATATCCTTATTATTGTAATGCTACATTGAAAAATTAAATGCTTGCAGTTCTTTTTATTCTCTCGAGTTATATTCTTTAGAGTAGACAGTCAGGAGTGATTAGAGGAAGGGCTCTGACATGTTATTGCTTTGCGGCATGCTTTCACTAATTCATATTGTTACAGAAGTCTCACTTTGGTGCACACGTTTCTTTATTGATTACTATTGGCTGGGCACTCTGGTTTACCACGTCCTATGGGATGTTATGTTTCCTTTTTTTTTTTTTTGAGGCAAAAATCTCATATAGCCCTAGCTAAACCCCCAACTCACTGTGTAGTCGAGGATAACCTTAAAGTCTTGATCCTCTAGCTTCTACCTCCTGAGTGCTGGGATCACAGGCATGTGCCTGGCTTATATTTGGTTTTTAAAGGAGGAGATTCTGCTGTTGTTTGTTTTTAGGACATAGTCTCTTGTACCTCAGGCTGGCCTTGAACTAGCTTAGTAGTTGAGGATGACCAAGAACTTTGGATTGTCTGACCCCTACCCACCTGATGCTGGGATAATTCACAGTTTTAAAGTAGGCATAGTTTCCTCCATTGGCATCAGTAATTCAGAAAGGTGGTTAAGCCACTTTCCCTTTTGTTGCAGAGCTAGGGAGGACTGGATGCAGGACGTGAACTTGGATGCACTCCACCCTGTCTAAGGCTCCTTCTACCAGGCAAAAGCAGTTGCTGGCATTATAATGCTTATTCTGAGTTAATTTAATAGAAGTTACATGTGCTCTCCTGCTTTCCCATGCCCCCTGCCCTCTGGTCTGAGTGGCCTGTGGGATTCACCTGGCTAGAGTTTTATGGTCCCCAAGCTCTGTCTTGCCAGTGTGCATTGGCAGCTGACGGGAACGCCTTGTTGGCAGATGGCTTTTGGAGGCAGAGGGCCTCATGGATTCACATTCTTTAGTCGGCATGCCGGTCTTAGTCAACATGGTGTTTGAGCCTCGAGATCTGCCCAGGACAGAAGAGAAGAGGGAAGCCAGTCTTTCTTTCACCGCCCCTCAGCCTGTGGAGGTGGAGCAGGGGCCATTCGGCTGCTAGAGATGAGATAACCAGGCAAGCTGACGTTTACCCTCCGTGGCTGAGGCTGCTGTCTTGAGTCCTGAGAGGTGCTTTTGAGTAGTCTGAGCGGGTTGCTAGTGCTCAGAAATCTGGAGATTTCATAACAATTCTGAATTTCTAGCTCTTTTGAAAACAGGGAGGGTCTGGAAGTTCTGGGTCTGGAGTCCTCCATGGGAAGACTGCTCACCAGGAGCCAGGCTTTGGTGCTGCTTATGGTGGGACCCCTGAAGTCTTGTTCTCTCTGAAGTTCCCATTTAGACAGCATACCTTGACCTTCTCTGTCCTTGTCCAAATCTTGCAGGAGGGCAAGGAAGCAAGTGCCTGAAGGATGGGAAGGAAGGTGGACAGGCATTCCAGGCACAGAATGGTGTGTGGGCATTTTTACCTATCAAGCTATCTCTCTAGGCCTCAGTTTCTCTGTCTTACAAGAGGGCTGCTGAGTAAATTGACCACAGGGTCCCCCTTAATCTCATCAAGGAGCTAAGTAGACTCTTACAAAAGGGATAGGATGTTTTGCAGGAAGACACTCCCAGAACTCTCGAGGCATGGATTCGAATGTCCCAGAATCAAGGTGTGAGGGATAAAGCATCTTTGGAATCATCTTGGCTCCCTCTTGAAGGCTTGATTAAAATCACAGGCGGGTCAAGGCAGACAGGGAGATGTGGGCTGAACCCACTCTCTGGAAGGTGTGTGTGTGTGTGTGTGTGTGTGTGTGTGTGTGTGTGTGTGTGTGTGTGTGTGTGTGTGTACACATACCATAGTACTTGTGTGGAGGTCTGTGTCCCTGGGACCATACTCGGATACTCCGGTCATTAGACCCATCTTGTGTTTTTGAGACAGGATCTTGCACTGGCCTAGAACTCACCAGATAAGCTCGGCTGGTTGGCCATTGAGTCCCAGGGACCTGTCTGCTTCTGTCCCCTAGGTGCTGGAATTACAAGCACAGATTGCCACATATATTTTTATGTGGACTCTGGGGATTGAACTCAGGTTCCTCACCCTTGCAAAGCAAACATTTTTACCTATCAAGCTATCTCTCTAGGCCCCAGTTTCTGTGTTGACAAAATGGGGACATATTTTAGGCCAGTGAAGTCATTAAGAGACTGTGTACCACAGCCTGCCTCTCCTTCCTGTTGGGGCAGCTGTGTCTCTCCATGGCATGAGTGTGACTATTGTTTGTGAAAGTGAATTCCTCCTGGGGACCAGGGCAGCAGAGGGTAAGAGCATCCTATGTTCTGGTGCAGGCCTTTGATTGTGTGACTTGGGACTCCTCACCTAACCTCTATTTCTCTGCTTTCTCATTTGTATGAGATGGTCAATGACAGCCCCTGTCTCCTTGGGTTTCAACCAAGATTAAATGAGATAAAACATTATAAGCCTCCAGAATGATGTTGGACACTTCCAAAATCCCCTAAATATTAACTGCCAGTGTTATCATTGCACAACAGATTCATTTTTCTTGTGGCTTTGGCTGTCAGGGAACTCACCATCCAATTTGCCCCTTACCTGTAGAGCCCTGCCTTGGACATAATGACATGGATTTCTGTTTCTGATTTTCAAACATTCTCTGACATATTGTACTGTTTGCTGCCATAGCTCCCACCGCCCTGTTTTTGTATATATTATGTAATTCTATATGTATTGATATAAATGGTTTTGTAATAAGTTTAGAATTAGTAAATGAAGAAATTTAGCAATATGTTGATTCTTTCTTAGTGACCCAGTGTTGTTCATAATAGTCTTGAACTAGGGAGTAAATTGTGCTAATTATACAGCATACCTTTCTATTTTGAGACAGCGTCTCACTTAGCCTAGGCTGACCTCCTGAGTACTGGGATCATAGGCATGTGCCACTGTGCTGGTAAGAGCTAATGGTTTTTCTTTTACATTTACTTACTTATTTATAGTGTGTGTGTGTGTGTGTGTGTGTGTGTGTGTGTGTGTACGCGCGCACTGGCCACACTGTGAATGTGGAGGCTAAAGTACAACCCCAGGGAGTTAGTTCTTTTCTTCTATCACATGGGTCTCAGAAATTGAATTCAGGTCAATAGGCTCAGGCAAATGTCTTTACCCACTGAGCCATCTCGCCTGCCCAGTAGTTAGTGTTTCTGAAGGTTTATGGTGTGTTGGCCTTTGCTGTGCCAGTTTCACGTGTATTACCTTAACAGTCACAGTGTAGCCTAGGAATCCTCAGAGGGAGCCTTGCTATGTGGGTGCCGGGATCCAAATTTAGGTCTTTTCCTTTTGCAGTTCAGGAAAGCAAGGCTGAGAGAGAGGGGATCATTCAGACAATGATTACCGCCTGCAGATGGTAGAGCCAGGATTCAGATGCGTCTCGCCTTACTCCAGAGCATACAGTATTACAGCCTGTTCAGTTCTGAGGGTGCTTGGAGTTCTGAGAGGCAGAGGAAGAATGGTTTCTGGCAGTGGTTTGATGCTCTCTTCCTCGCCTTCTTTTTCTCTTCATATTTCCTCAACCTTCTCCCTGCTTCCTATGTTTCCAGAGCCCATGAGGGCCCCCAAAGGCCTGGCTTTGGCTGAGATCCAGGCTCGCCAGCTGACCCTGCAGTGGGAGCCCCTGGGTTACAACGTGACCCGTTGCCACACTTATGCTGTGTCCCTCTGCTACCACTACATCCTGGGTGGCAGCCACAATCAGACCATCCGGGAGTGTGTGAAGATGGAGCGGGGTGCCAGCCGCTACACCATCAAGAATCTGCTGCCGTTCAGGAACGTCCATGTGCGTTTGATCCTCACAAACCCTGAGGGGCGCAAGGAAGGCAAGGAGGTCACTTTCCAGACAGATGAAGATGGTAAGTGTGCAGGCCCGATTCCCAGAGCCATGCATGCCTCCCGTACCCAGGGCCTATGCTCAGATTCATGTAGGGAACTCTAGCAAGGCAGTGGTGGCCATTACTCATTCCTGGGGAAGACTGTGGGTTGTTAGGCTAGTGTAATTTCTTCCTGAAGGGTTTAGAAGAATTCAGTGGTGAATTTGGACCAGGAATTTTCCTCATGGCAAGGTTTTTAATAACAGTTTTCACTTGTGAAATAGATTTGGGTGTATGCAGTCACTTTCCGCCTTGTTTTTTGAGACGGCCTCTCACTGAACCAAGACCCCCACCAGCAGGCACATTGGCTGGTTAACAGGCTCTAGGTTCCCACCCATCTCTGTCTCCCTAATTCCCTGAACACTGGGTTACACGTATGTGCTACCATGCCTGGCTTTTACATGGACACTGGAGATCCAAACTTAGATCCTCCTGTTTGCATAGCAAGCACTTGACCAACCGAGCTATCTCTCCAATCCCGCTTTTAGCTTTTTGAGCCTTTATTCCACCCTCTCTCCCCTTTTCTGATATGGTCTTCCCCTATGTAGCAGAGGCTGCCTTAACTTGTAATCCTTCTGCTTTGGCCTCCTCGGTACTAGAATTGTCGGTATGGGCCACCATACTCAGTTTGAGCCTAGTGTGTAATGCATGCATTTAAAGCCGTATGTTTTCCTTTATGCTCTACTTTAGCTGCATCCCATAGTATTTATTGTCGTCCAGTGCTGGGGCTTTACCTCAGATTTGTACCTGATAGGCAGGTGTTGTGCAGCACTGAGCTCCGTCCTCAGCCCACCCATAAGTTTTCATATGCTCTGTTTTCATTACCATTCAGTTTAAAATATTTTCTAATTGCTGTAATAATTTCCTCTTTAACTCAAAAAATTATGTAAAATTAACTTATCTTAATTTCTTTTCTTTTTTACCGAGACGGGTTTCTCTGTATAGCCCTGGCTATCCTAGATCTCACTGTGTAGACCAGGCTGGCTTTGAACTCACAGATATTTATTTACTTGCCTTCTGCCTCCCAAGTGCTGGAATTAAAGGTGTGTGCCACCATTGCCTGGTCACTTTAATTTCTAAGCACTTAGGACGTGTGTGTGTGTGTGTGTGTGTGTGTGTGTGTGTGTGTGTGCACATACCAGATATTGGTATCTGGGCCTTGTGCAAGCACTATACCACTGAGATACAGCCCCAGTCCACCAACAAGGACTTCTAATTAATAATCTTTTTGTTATTGATTTCTGGCCTAATCCACTGTGGTCGGAGTAGGAATTGTAGTCTTGAAATTTGACCCTTGCTTTGTGGCCCAGCAAGTGGTTAAATTTTGGTGGATGGCCTCTGTGTTGCATCCCACCATTGTTGGGTACAGGGCTTTGTAAGTGTCACTCTGTCTGCGCTTAAGCACGTGGTCCTCATCAGAGACCGGTATGGATGGACTCTATGTATTAATGCATTCAGCCCGCCTTGGCCACTCTGTGTGGCAGGCTGCTGTTTCTCGTCATATTTGACAGCTGACCTCACATAGCAAGTCTGTGATTGGTAGAGCAGGGCCTTATGAAGCTGACCTGAAAGCTGGTTTTGTTTTGTTTTGTTTTGTTTTGTTTTGATGCTGGAGACCGAGCCCATGACACCTTGTACCTGCTGAGCACACACTTCACCACCAAGTTTGCTGCCATCCTGAGTTATTTATTTATTTATTTGTTTATTTATTTATTTATTTATTTATTTATTTATTTATTTATTTATTTTTGGTTTTTCGAGACAGTTTCTCTGTGTAGCTTTGGAGCCTATCCTGGCACTCGCTCTGGAGATCAGGCTGACCTCGAATTCACAGAGATCTGCCTGCCTCTGCCTCCTGAGTGCTGGGATTAAAGGCGTGCACCACCAACGCCTGGCGAGTTACTTATTTTGAAGTGTTTGAGTTTTGTGTGTGCCTGTCTCTCCAGTAGTGCAGGTTGTCCTTGGATGTTTGGCACGGCGGTTCTTCTGTGTCCCTTTCCCATACCACCACACCTCGCAGACCTGCTACTCTAGCAGCTGTACTCTAACGCCTGCACCGCCTTCTCTAAATTCCTGCAGACTCCCAGGAACCTGGAAGAGGATTGGCTGGTGGGTTTTCTTGCTGTCCCCATGTGCAGTATCTATTCGGAAGCACAATTCAGCCTTCCTCGTTGGTTTCCCACCAGACACCGCTCACCTTGATTATGTGCATAGGCCACACTGAAGGTTTTCTCAGGGCAGGAGCAAGCAATGGCTGGGATTGCCCCAAAGCTTTGCACAACCTGTAGCTAAACACCAGAGTACTCCATTCTCATGATTCCTGTATGCCATTTGATCCCCTACGGCTATGGTCAGGCCACCTCATTCTGTCCAGGGTGCTTACCCTAAGTCCAATAAATTCCCATAGACTGGACACTTCAGAGAACTCTAAACCAAATGAAGAAATCACATCCCAGCACCCCAGGAGGCCACTAATGCTCCCCGTCTTCACTGCCTCCCAAGGGTAACTAACCATTATTCCTCCCAATAGCACTGTATTCATTTTTTGCCTGGTTCTGGGCCGTGTGTAAGCAGCATAAACAGTAGATGCTTGCTTTGCGCCCACTTGTTTCTGTGAATTTTATGCTCTCCGGAGACCAGACCATGGCATGCATGGTCCCAGTGAATGCATCCTCACTGCTGTGTGGTTCATTCTAGGAATGAATCCACCCCATTCACTTTCTGTTAACTGTTGGTGAGTATCTGGGCAGATTCTGAATTTGGTTGCTTTGAACAATGTTTTGAAGAAAGTCTGTGGAGATTATTTTTGGTAGGTATTCATGTGTCATGTGGGCGTGTGTGTAGGAGAGAACGGCTAGGTTGCAAGGGTGTGTGTTGTCTTTAGTAGATTTAGCCAGACAGTCTTCCATTGGTCGTGATGGTATCAATTTATATTCCACTAGCAGTGAATGAGAACTTGGTTCTGTGATCTTACTGACACTTGAAATTGTTAATTGCTGTGGAGTTTTGTTTTTGTTTTTTCTGTTTGGATAGGTGGAGAATGATCTTGGGAAATTCTTACTTTAACTGAATGCTTAGCTTTCATTGTATTAGTTAGTGTGTTTGTGTGTGTTTGTGTGTGTGTGTGTGTGTGTGTGTGTGTGTGTGTGTGTGTGTGTGTGTGTGTGTGTGTGTAGGCAAGAGGTTGATGTTTTCCTCTATTGCTTTCCCTCTTATTTTGGAACAAGGTCTCACTGAGTTTGGATTTCTTTGTTTCAGCTCAGCTGGCTGGCCGGCAAGCCCCAAGCAACCCACCTGTCTCTTCCCCCTAGTCCTCAGTGCTGAGTTACAGTGCACACCCCCAGTGCTGGGCTACAGTGCACACTCCCAGTGCTGGGCTACAGTGCACACTCCCAGTGCTGGGTTACAGTGCATACCCCCAGTCCTGGGCTGCAGATGCACACCCCCAGTGCTGGGCTACAGATGCACACCCCCCAGGGCTGGGTTATAGTGCACACCCCCAGTGCTGAGTTACAATGCACACCCCCAGTGCTGGGTTACAGTGCACACCCCCAGTGCTGGGCTACAGTG